ATTTCGGACATTAACGTGAATGAATATTCCGCCTTGTACGCAAGTTTCTGCCAGCGTGCCACACAATGGACTTGATTAATATATGTTGGGGAATATATATGAAACAAGTATTAGAGCACATATGGGTGTAGAAAAACCATTACAAATGTAATTGGCCTGTCATCGATAACCAGAAAAGACAGTATGACTAATTGTAGAACCCAATCATACGCTTTTGTGGGGTATATGGCTTAAATAAGATATACTTGTTTTGTCTGTTTGTCTTTATTTACATCTGTATTGCATTTTAGTCAAAATCCTAATAGGGATACGAACGCAATAAAGATAATTATTATTACACAGAAGATCACTGTTATGGACGAGATAACACTGAGTAGTTGGACGACATGATGAAAGTAGAACACATTAGCAGAGGTAAGTCGCGGAGGGATATTTCTGCGACTGAAATGCGATAAAACGTCAAGTGTATTGGATGTTGTGGATTAACTTAGTTTCAGATCAAATATTTTCCTATTACGCGATACTATTGGACAACCAAGCCAGATATACTATATCCCCAGATGGCGCTATACATCAACAACACTATTTCATTCACTTTACATTTTTCATTTCACGAATTTATTGCCTGGATAAGAATACAGTCACCACCAGAGGGCGCTATATATTAAACAATCATCAACTTTCGCTAGCTTCCTACCACACAATTCATTGTTTGTCCTGCTAGAATGAGAGTACTGCACCATCAATATCAGAGAGCTTTATACACAGAACAAACTTAAAAATTCGAGACATAATATATAGTAGCCAAGGATGTAGACACTAGTGGTTCTTATTTATTTAATATATTCAATATAACCAGCCGTTTCATAGAACAATTTCTCTTCAGATATATCATTGCCCAAAACGTATGTTTGCAACTAATTAATCAACGAGAGTATTGCCTACTAACCATTTTGTATAGATTATCGGAAGTGAACCCTTTTCCCCCACACAAAGCTAATAGATCACTTATTTTTTTCCTTTATTGATTGACTGATTGTACTTCATGTTTTAATGCTTGAAATTTAAATTACTAAATTAAACTACCGGAATCCGGCATTCATACGAAATGTGGAAATCTAGACGCGATCGGATGTGTCTCGCGATATGACTAATATTTTCAATTATACAAAACAATTAGGATCCGTGGTGAGCAAAAACAGTGGTTAGGCTTGGCATGGTTTAGCAATTATTTATCATGATATTAATCATTGTTATTGGATCACAAATACTGCCAACATTTTTTGATTATTAATTTGTGATTCGCATTTTGCTTTGGATTATTTGAATTGCGATTCGCGATCACATTAACACTGTGTAAACATACGTGTTAGTTCTGATACCTGCGCTCTGATATACTGTACAATCACCGTTGAGGGCAGCACTTAACTTGGAAACCAATGTACAGTTGGCATTACTTGATGGCACCAGGGACGGACTGATAATTTTTCCAGTCTACGGCCATATGGGCCTCCGCACTCGGCACCAACTTTTAATAGCCAGCAATCAGTATAGAAACATACTGTTGGCAAAGTCAGTCACAAATAACAGTGGTATAGATTTATTCTCTCTTCAAAATGCAAGCATTGAAGAGACTGTATTATGGCTGTATAAAAAACTAGATGTTCATTTATGTTTAGAAGATGCATATTGTATATGAATATTGTTCATCTGTGTGGGTTCTGTAATGACAGACAAAAAACACTTTAGCACTATCACTCACCCAGGAAGTGGACTAGTGCCCTCTTGGGGACTAACATCTCAAATTAGTAGATGTGATATCTTGCTTTCCATTGGTGCCACCCCCAACTTTCATTGGAAACTTTTTCAATCACTTTCACATACCTGGTTCATGTTATTAGTTCTGCTTTGTGGCAAAAATCAAGTAATGCCCAAGAGTTTCTATCGTTTAAAATAGTGAATTAGGTTGTTGTTTTTATCAGATATTATAAAGATGGTCAATGACTTGTTGAATTCACTATAGGAGTGGTTTCTTCTATTTCGGTAGCATAGCAACCATCATGAAACCAGCTTTCACTGCAAGAGGATATTGCACTTCCACAACAAATGCAAATTAAAAAGTTTAATCTTTTATTGAATTCTACAACACAGCATGAAAATTGTTATCAAAACAAGTTTGATTAGAACGAAGTTAGTCATCTCAAAGAAACGATTTTTGGCATTTAGAAGGCTATAGTTATTAGATGGACATTTACTTTTGTCAAAAATGGCTGCCAGTCAACCATATTTGATCAAATATAAATACATAAATGTGCATCTTTTATTATATTGACGATGGATTGTGATACAAATCATCTTTGTCTGTGTACTATGACATAACTCAACAATATAATTTGAAAGTCTCACCACATTGTTGCCATATCTGATATAAACTAAGAAAACTGGAAAGTGACATAAATGTGATGCACATTTTCAAAATCAATATCATATTTGAATGAGAGAGCATTTCCAACATATATACATGATTTTACAGATTAAAATATGTTGTGTTTGCTGCCAGTAGTATAATATCAAAATGTAGTTCACATTCATGTTAACAGGAATGTTTTATTCAATGTCAACACAACCAATGTAACAATAAAATACTCAACATGACAAGGCAAATTATGTTGAGCATATACATACTTTTCAACATCACAAAATATGTTGAGCATATACATACTTTTCAACATCACAAAATATGTTGAGCATATACATACTTTTCAACATCACAAAATATGTCGAGCATATACATACTTTTCAACATCACAAAATGTGTTGAGCAAATACATACTTTTCAACATCACATAATATGTTGAGCATATACATACTTTTCAACATCACAAAATATGTTGAGCATATACATACTTTTCAACATCACAAATTATGTTGAGCATATACATACTTTTCAACATCACAAAATATGTTGAGCATATACATACTTTTCAACATCACAAATTATGTTGAGCATATACATACTTTTCAACATCACAAATATGTTGAGCATATACATACTTTTCAACATCACAAAATATGTTGAGCATATACATACTTTTCAACATCACAAATTATGTTGAGCATATACATACTTTTCAACATCACAAATTATGTTGAGCATATACATACTTTTCAACATCACAAAATATGTTGAGCATATATATACTTTTCAACATCACAAATTATGTTGAGCACATATCTTTGTTATGAATTATGTTAAGCAAGTACATTAATCACAGTATGTATTTTTTAACAACTTGATTTATGTTCAACATTATGAATTATGTTGAGTACATTAGTAGCTACATTTTATTTAACATCTAGGATTTGATGTTCAACATTATGAATTACAGCTAAAACAAGGTCAGCTTGGACGTTCAGTTGCGAGACATAAAAAAAAAACGCAGCCACTGATATATTTCGAAAATAAAAATACAAAATAAACGCAATCAGAGGTGCTGACCACTCACGTTGGAAATAAAGAGAACGCGTTGTGACACCTCACCAGCCCCTTTCACTCGCGCAATATAATTATGCTATTTCCCAATGCACTTTACATTGACGAAAAACACCACAAGAAAAATGTAAATCATGCTTGTAATTACTAGTAACTCAACTCGAACGCAATATTCATCACTGTAAAAGTGGATAAATTCGAACCTGCCAGCTCATGACCGGAGACGTCCGGTCGTCTTCGTTGATAACTCGCCAATTAACCATAATTGTGGTGGTGAACTGTTTAGCTGATTTTTCAAAAGATGGACATTCAATTCATATTCATCCAAACTTATTTGAATATTCATTCAGAAATTTGGGACATGGTTCAAAAAATCCTGTACAGTTATATGTCTGATGTCAACTAATAATACGTAATTATCCAGGCAGTACTGGAAATTATTGCTGATACTAAAATGTTTTGTATTGGGAAGTTGGATACTTGAGCGTGTAGTCCCCAGGCATGTAGAAGAAGAGCATAATCGTACTGTCACATGTTTTTCATCCTAGCCTTGTCTTTTCGTCTTAACCGTCGCAGTCCGCTTCATTGAATGTTTAGTTTGATAATTAATAAACATATATTTAGTGTGAGCACGGAACTACGTATTCATTATACGAAAAATAGCATGTGTGTGTGCATTTGCGTGAGTGAAAGATACAGGTGAGATTTCTCGTGGCAACGCGTTCTATTTCCAATACGCATGGTCGGCGCCTTTGGTTGCGTTTATTTTGTTCTTTCATACTCGAAATCTATTGCTGGCAACGTTTATTTTGTCATTTCTCCCAACTGAATGTCCAAGCTGACTTTGTTTTGGCTGTACATGTATGTTGAGTACATTAGTAGCTACATTTTATTCAACATCTTAGATTGTATGTTCAACATTATGAATTATGTTGAGTACATTAGTAGCTACATTTTATTCAACATCTTAGATTGTATGTTCAACATTATGAATTATGTTGAGTACATTAGTAGCTACATTTTATTCAACATCTTAGATTGTATGTTCAACATTATGAATTATGTTGAGTACATTAGTAGCTACATCTTATTCAACATTTTAGATTGTGTGTTCAACATTATGAATTATGTTGAGTACATTAGTAGCTACATTTTATTCAACATCTTAGATTGTATGTTCAACATTATGAATTATGTTGAGTACATTAGTAGCTACATTTTATTCAACATCTTAGATTGTATGTTCAACATTATGAATTATGTTGAGTACATTAGTAGCTACATTTTATTCAACATCTTAGATTGTATGTTCAACATTATGAATTATGTTGAGTACATTAGTAGCTACATCTTATTCAACATTTTAGATTGTGTGTTCAACATTATGAATTATGTTGAGTACATTAGTAGCTACATTTTATTCAACATCTTAGATTGTATGTTCAACATTATGAATTATGTTGAGGACATTAGTAGCTACATCTTATTTGATGTTCAAACTCTATAGCTATACATCTCCTACAAAACACACGTCGTTCATATCTTCATATATGTCAATTTCAAGCTGTTGTTCTTCTTGGATGATTGTTTCCATGGTTTCAGTAATTTCAGGTTTGGTGTCACCTGCATATATAAATTGTGCATATGTACTTCTATCAGATGTACGTATCCTGGATTCATTCTCCTTGATATACTCTTTAATATCTGCAACAGTCTTCTTGTCTTTCTTTGTGAATTTTGTGAATACTGAACTATTGAAATAACAATAAATTATTAAAAATCAATAATTGTGAATCTGATATATATATTTGTTGTTGTTAGGGAATGGGAAAATAATTATTTAGTAATTATGACTTTATACAAGGCAAATCTATGACTGGTACATCAGGATAACTAATTCTATGCACTGCCAAGTTGCGATCGAGAGAAACAGTTCATATGTTACTTGAACATCAAAACTGCATATCTGAAAATTATCGATATAAAGTGAGAAATCAATATTTATGATATTTCAGTTATTTGAAAAAACAAAAGGTACTGTGAAAGTGTCAAAGGAGCAATGTTTTGGTATTTTTTGAGATTATGTCAAAATTTTGAATTGCGTACACCAACCAATCAAATTATCAATAGGCTATTGGATATCAAGTTGAGATATCAAAACTATCCAATGGGCTGTATCACTTGGAAAAGGCATGATACATGGAATAAAGCTTACATCCATGGGGCCAGAACTACATCACAGAACATTATATGAGCACCACTGTACCATATATTTCTATGGGCTCTGTGCAAGCTGCTGTGGTGTATTGTGCAAGCTGCTGTGGTGTATTGTGCAAGCTGCTGTGGTGTATTGTGCAAGCTGCTGTGGTGTATTGTGCAAGCTGCTGTGGTGTATTGTGCAAGCTGCTGTGGTGTATTGTGCAAGCTGCTGTGGTGTATTGTGCAAGCTGCTGTGGTGTATTGTGCAAGCTGCTGTGGTGTATTGCGCAAGTAGGGGTAGCCTTGTTACACTGTTTAGGAGAGTCTCAACAACTAGCCTAAAGAACAGTTTTTGTGATCAATGTTTTCATTGGTGATAGTTGCCAGGAGTAGAAAATGCCATATTGAAAATGGAATGCTATTCTACTGTTTTTGTTCTAGATGTATAACAATATGTTATGACAGAACCCCATACCCTCCCCGTGGCTTTCGTTGCATATGGAAGTTATTTTCATGAGTGATGCGGTGTATCTTGCCACCATACTTAGTACAGCAGGATACACTGCATCTCGCGTCTTGACGAATCAAAATAAACTGCAGTACATATGTAATAATGTATGTTACCTGATAGGCAGGTTGTCAATATACTGCCATGGATTCTCCTCCAGGTCAGAATCTTTCTCACACATCACATCATAACTATAATCAAACATATTAGAAGACTAGATTGAACTCTTTCATTAACCAATTATTTTCACTTTCACATGACCTATCATTGTTTCATGACCTTTAACTAGCAAGTCATTATTAAATTATCAATGACATGCCTCATGTCAACAAATTTGAAAATGACGTACAGTATAGCCAAAATAATAAGCTGTGTGCCCACAAACAAGGCAGATTTTGAAGGAATCCAGAGTCAAAATATACCAAACTTAAGTCAGTCAGTTTGTTGACTGCTGGGAAGTCAGCCTTCAAGCATAAAATCAAATTTTATGTGGCTGTATAGATGACCTGAGGCATAAACAAAAATGTTGTTTCAGTAGATCCTGATTTTCTTTATTTATGCTTATTTTGTTTATAAAATATGAAATTGTTTTTACCAAATTACAAATTGCACAAAATAGTGGGATGCTTTTCAAGATCACTATCAATGTATGATTTTATATTGTGACAATGATGTGCCAGTGAATTAGCAGAACAATCATATCAGCTTAGAGGGCACATTAATACTAAGACTTCAATGTTACATCTGAATACATCCAATAAAACAGTCACAGAGGCACTCAATAGTTTTCCGCTACATGGTAGTTCTGTGTAATAATAAAGTAGTGTAAAGTGATAATTGTTGAAAATCGTTGGGAATAGATTTTAACTTAAAACTAAACTGGGGGTAATCTGATACAGATCAAGTGGTTCTTGTGTTCGATCATTACATGTTTAACATTTAAAATTGGTCAATTTAATTAATTAAAGTAATTAATATGTACAAATAGAAACCATGCAAACATCAATTAAGTCTGTGGATTATCCTGGATCATTTATATACCAATTTTCATTAAAGTCTGGTGAGCAGTTATTTAGATATCAGTGGAAATCTAAAATTGACAGTTATTTTGCAAATAAGGTAATTGCATGGTAATGCGCGGATTACAACTAAAAACTGTCCACATTTAACATGTATTTACTAAGTTGCATTGAAATATTAATAATAATTGGATCTTGAGATATCGATAGAACTGAGAAGTGCACACAGACAGAGTAACCACATATACTGTTTCCTTTGCTTTGTATTTTTGTGAACAATTTGTTTGATGAAGTTGACATGTTCTCAACAGCCAGAACCATTTTGAAACTATATTTTTGTGGGTTAACCACACTTTGTCTTATGGGTGTGCATCGCTAGACTTGGCTACTACAAGCTTCTTGTAAGACAGGTTTGGTTTAAATAGGTTTTGTGTCCATTATAAACAGTGCTCTGTTTAGACAGGTTTTATGTTCATTAAACACAGGATTCAGTTTAGATGGGTTTTATGTTCAATGATGTAGTCTTAAATAATCAAAGGTAACTTACAAATCTAGTAAATATTTGAACATATCTCTATCTTCTTGTGAGCTGAGCAATCTCTTAATTCGATTCCAGCGGTTTTTTAGCTTAGTTCCGATAAACATCGAAATCCCACTGTTGACTTGACAGTCTGTGCTGAATTCTTGCATTTCAGGTTTTGCATGTGTTGGTAATGCATGACTGCATGACTCAATAGATGACTGAACACATGCATTGATTTCTGTGTTATCCTGTATGTCATGTACTGGTGGCTGTAGATCACTGTAATTCACTGATTCAACATCCCTGCTGACACCGGATTGTCCAGACACAGTTGATGTCGGCTTATTTGCTTGTTGATTCCTGTAAATAGATAATGCAAGTAGATATACTAAATAGTATCATTTCTATAGTTTTTGTGGTTGTCCAAATGGACGACCACTTTTTCTAGGAACAGACCTTTACCTATTGGAGAATTCATTTCAAAACTCTGTTGACACCCGCTTAAAATATGAATCATTCAGTTTATTAACTCGCACACTCAAACATTCATAAAAATAAAGGTGCATCACTATAATTTCATTCATACAGTTGCTGACAGTTTCATTCAACTGAACACTAGCAATTTGCTGGTATTCTTTCAAAATACTGTTCGATACCCGAAATATGGCAAAAAAATTAGAACTGTCCTAAACGCTAGATGTCATTTGCTAAATTATAGATAATGCACAACTCATGCCATATATACAGGCGTATGCTTAATACTAAGTAATATACTCATCTTAGGGTTATTAAAAGATTCAGTGAAATTATTATGAGGAAAGCACAAAGATGTTATCAGCAAACACACAATATTCATGTTTACACTAAATTCAGAAACATAACCAAGTCATAACACCATTTACATATTTCATATCCTATCCTCCTATTATTACCATGGTCACACTGCCATCAAGACACCAATAGCGTTGGCATATTTTTTTTGTCCAATAATGACTGACAAATAAACCTATGATGATGTCATTGCATCACAGCAAATTTGTGCCGACAGCATACCAATGTGATATACAGTTACCCAGGCCATATCACCCTCAATATATGCCTTACCACGTCTTACCTCCCAACATACATGCATTCGTACCCTGGTTATACCTATCTAAACATACCCATACCATGGATATACCTCCAAACAAACCCATACATTGGTTATACCTCCGTAAACATACTCATACCCAGGTTATACCTCCCAAAACATACCCATACCCTGGTTATACTTCTGTAAACATACCCATACCATGACTAAATCTCCCTAAACATACCTATACCCTGGATATACCTCCGTAAACATACATGTATCCATATCCTGACTATACCTCACTAAACATAACCATATCAAGGTTATACTGGTACAGAAATGATACCAACTTAACACACCTATACACCAGTCATACCACACTAAACATACCCGTACCCAGGTCATACAATGGTAAATATACCTGTACCCAGGTCATACAACGGTAAATATACCCGTACCCAGGTCATACAACGGTAAACATACCCGTACCCAGGTCATACAATGGTAAATATACCCGTACCCAGGTCATACAACGGTAAACATACCCATACCCAGGTCATATGACCCTAAACATACCGATACCCAGGTCATAAGACCATAAACATACTGACACCCAGGTCATACCACCGTAAATATACTGGTACCCAGGTCATACCACCGTAAGCATACTGGTACCCAGGTCATAAAACGGTAAACATACCCGTACCCAGGTCATACAACGGTAAACATACTCGTACCCAGGTCATATGACCCTAAACATACCGGTAACCAGGTCATATCACCATAAACATACTGGTACCCATGTCATACCAACGTAAACATACTGGTACTCAGGTCATACCACCATAAACATACTGGTACCCAGGTCATACCACTGTAAACATACTAGCACCCAGGTCATACCATCGTAAACATACTGGTACCCAGGTCATACTACCGTAAACATATTGGTACACAGGTCATACCACCACTAACATACTGGGACCCAGGTAATACCACCCTAAACATACTGGTACCCAGGTCATACCACCGTAAACATACTGGTACCCAGGTCATACCACCCTAAACATACTGGTACCCAGGTCATACAACCCTAAACATACTGACACCCAGGTCATACCACCATAAACATACTAGCACCCAGGTCATACCACCGTAAACATACTGGCACCCAGATCATACCAACCTTAACATACTGGTACCCAGGTCATACCACCATAAACATGCTGGTACCCAGGTCATACCACTGTAAACATACTGGTACCCAGGTCATACCACCATAAAAATACTGGTACCCAGGTCATACCACCATAAACATACTGGTACCCAGGTCATACCAACGTAAACATACTGGTACCCAGGTCATACCACCATAAACATACTGGTACCCAGGTCATACCACTATAAACATACTGGTACCCAGGTCATACCACCCTAAACATACTGGTACCCAGGTCATACCACCATAAAAATACTGGTACCCAGGTCATACCACCTAAAACATACTGGTACCCAGGTCATACGACGATAAACATACTGGTACACAGGTCATACGATGATAAACATACTGGTACCAAGGTCATACAACCCTAAACATACCAGTACCCAGGTCATATGACTCTAAACATACCGGTACCCAGGTCATACCACCGTAAACATACTGGTACCCAGGTCATACCATAAACATACTGGTACCCAGGTCATACCATAAACATACTGGTACCCAGGTCATACCACCCTAAACATACTGGTACCCAGGTCATACCACCATAAACATACTGGTACCCAGGTCATACCACCATAAACATACTGGTATCCAGGTCATACCACTGTGAAGATACTGGTACCCAGGTCATACCACCATAAACATACTTGTACCCAGGTAATATCACAGTAAACATACTGGTACCAGGTCATACCACTGTGAAGATACTGGTACCCAGGTCATACCACCATAAACATACTGGTACCCAGGTCATACCACCCTAAACATACTGGTATCCAGGTCATACCACCATAAACATACTGGTACCCATGTCATACCACCCTAAACATACTGGTACCCAGGTCATACCACCCTAAACATACTGGTATCCAGGTCATACCACCATAAACATACTGGTACCCATGTCATACCACTGTAAACATACTGGTACCCAGGTCATACTACCATAAACATACTGGTACCCAGGTCATACCACTGTAAACATACTGGTACCCAGGTCATACCACCATAAACATACTGGTACCCATGTCATACCACCATAAACACTGGTATACAGGTCATACCACCATAAACAAACTAGTATCCAGGTCATACCATTGTGAAGATACTGGTACCCAGGTCATACCACCATAAACATACTTGTACCCAGGTAATATTACCGTAAACATACTGGTACCAGGTCATACCACTGTGAAGATACTGGTACCGAGGTCATACCACTGTGAAGATACTGGTACCCAGGTCATACCACTGTGAAGATACTGGTACCCAGGTCATACCACCATAAACATACTGGTACCCAGGTCATACCACCATAAACATACTGGTATCCAGGTCATACCACCGTAAACATACTGGTAGACAGGTCATACCACTGTGAAGATACTGGTACCCAGGTCATACCACTGTGAAGATACTGGTACCCAGGTCATACCACCATAAACATACTGGTACCCAGGTCATACCACCATAAACATACTGGTACCCATGTCATACCACCCTAAACATACTGGTACCCATGTCATACCACCCTAAACATACTGGTACCCAGGTCATACCACCATAAACATACTGGTACCCAGGTCATACCACCATAAACATACTGGTACCCAGGTCACACCACCATCAACATACTTGTACCCAGGTCATATGACCCTAAACATACTGGTACACAGGTCATACCACCGTAAACATACTGGTACCCAGGTCATACCACCGTAAACATACTGGTACCCTGGTCATACCACCGTAAACATACTGGTACCCAGGTCATACCACTGTAAACATACTGGTACCCAGGTCATACCACCGTAAACATACTGGTACCCAGGTCATACCACC